CTCGTTCTCTTGATTGTGTTGTTACTTTTACCAACAATTCTGTGTGTTTACAGGACCGAAGTTCGAAACAGGTGATTGGCACAAGATGTGAGTCTCATGGTCTTTATTATCTCCGTCCCTCTACACATGTTAGTACAGTTATGGAGTCTCCCTCTCTTCTTCATGCTCAGTTAGGTCATCCAAGTCTTGCCAAGTTACAGAAACTTGTCCCTGCCTTGTCCAACTTATCTAGTTTGGCGTGTGAGTCATGTCAATTAGGCAAGCATAGTCGTACTTCCTTTCCTCGTAGTTTCACACGTGGTGCTTCGTCCCCTTTTGCCGTGGTTCACTCTGACATTTGGGGACCTAGCCGCGTTAAGTCTACTTTAGGTTTTCAATACTTTGTTACTTTCATTGATGATTATTCCAGATGCACTTGGTTATTTTTTATGAAAAATCGTTCTGAATTATTTCATATCTTTCAAACTTTTTTTAATGAAATTCAAACTCAGTTTGGTGTTTCTATTAGAGTTTTGCGTAGTGATAATGACCGTGAATATCTTTCTCATTCTTTTAAACAATTCATGGCTTCTCACGGTATTTTGCATCAAACTTCTTGTGCTTATACACCTCAACAAAATGGTGTAGCTGAACGTAAAAATAGACATCTTATTGAAACAACTCACACACTTTTAATTCATGGAGATGTTCCTCAACATTTTTGGGGTGATGCTCTTCTTACTGCATGTTATCTCATTAATCGCATGCCTTCTTCGGTTTTAGATAATAAAATACCTCATTCCATTTTATTCCCTCATGAACCACTTCATCCTTTACCTCTAAAAGTTTTCGGGTTTACATGTTTTGTTCATAATTTCAGTTCTGGTCTGGACAAACTTTCTCCTAGATCACATAAATGTGTTTTCTTAGGGTTTACAAGATCACAAAAAGGATACAAATGTTTTTCTCCTTCTCTTAACCGTTATTTTGTGTCAAAAGATGTCAACTTTGATGAGTTGTCTCTTTATTTTAAAAGTCAAACTTCACCTCTGACTCCATCCAATCTTGTCAACACTCCTAATACATTTAATGTTCCTGTTGTTTGTGACCCTCTAACTGTGTCTTCTTCACCATTAGTTCCTGCTCTGCAGTCAGCTTCTTCTTCACTGCCTCTTCAGATTTATAGTTCTCGAAACCAATCACAACCACCACCATGTGACTCTACTCAAGTGTCAACTACTCTGTCTCCTCCGGATCTGACACATGAGTCTGACCTTCCCATTGCCCTCCGAAAAGGTATTCGTTCTACACGTAATCCCTCTCCCCATTATATTGCTTTGAGTTATCATCGACTGTCATTACCTTTTTATACATGTCTTTCCTCTATTTCTTCTGTGACCATTCCAAAAATTGTCCGTGAAGCTTTAGCCCATCCTGGTTGGCGACAGGCCATGTTAGATGAACTAAGTGCTCTTCATAATAGTGGAACTTGGGAATTGGTCCCGTTATCGTCTGGGAAATTTGTTGTTGGTTGCAGGTGGGTGTTTGCTATCAAAGTTGGACCTGATGGTACTATTGATCGCCTCAAAGCTCGTCTTGTGGCCAAAGGTTAAACTCAAATTTTTGGGTTGGATTATGGAGATATCTTTTCCCCTGTGGCAAAGATGGCTTCTGTTCGTTTATTTATCGCCATGGCTGCTCTTCAACAATTGCCTCTTTATCAACTGGATGTTAAAAATGCTTTCCTCAATGGTGATTTGCAAGAAGAAATATATATGGAGCAACCTCCTGGGTTTGTTGCTCAGGGGGAGTCTTCTGGGATGGTATGTCGTCTTCGCAAATCCCTATATGGCCTAAAACAGTCTCCTAGGGCTTGGTTTGGAAAGTTTAGCAAGGTTGTTCAACAATTTGGTATGACTCGGTGTGAATCGGATCATTCTGTCTTTTATCGACACTCGAGTGCTTGGATGTGTTTACTTGATAGTATATGTTGATGACATTGTTCTTACAGGTAGTGACAACCATGGCATCTCTCAGTTGAAACAACATCTCTGTCACCATTTTCGGACCAAAGATCTTGGCAAACTTAGATATTTCTTGGGTATTGAGGTGGCACGGTCCAATGATGGTATTGTTATATCTTAGAGGAAGTATGCCATAGATATTTTGGAGGAAACTGGGTTGATGAGTTCAAAGTCTCGTTGATACACCCATGGATCCCAATACTAAACTTCTACCAAATCGGGGGAGCCTATATCGATCCTGAGCGAGTATAGAAGATTGGTTGGAAAATTGAATTATCTTACAATTACTCGTCCCGACATTTCCTTTGCAGTCAGTGTGGTAAGTCAATTTCTTAATTCACCATGTGAAGATCATTGGAATGCAGTCATTCGTATCTTGAAGTATATTAAAGGATCTCCTGGAAAAGGATTGTTATATGGTTCTAATAACCATACAAGAGTTTTTTGCTACTCAGATGCTGATTGGGCAGGATCTCCTTCGGATAGAAGATCTACATCTGGATATTGTGTCTCCATTGGTGGTAACTTGATCTCATGGAAAAGTAAGAAACAAAGTGTTGTGGCAAGATCCAGTGCAGAAGCAGAATATAGAGCTATGGCCTCAGCTTCCTGTGAACTTGTTTGGCTCAAGCAATTGCTTAGAGAGTTACAATTTGGAGATGTCACTCAAATGACACTTGTGTGTGACAATCAGGTTGCTCTTCATATTAGTTCTAATCTTGTATTTCATGAGAGGACCAAACACATTGAGATTGACTGTCATTTTATTCGAGAAAAGATTATGTCTGGAGATATCAAGACTGAGTTTGTTAACTCAAGTGATCAGTTAGCAGATATTTTTACTAAATCTTTATGGGGTCCTAGAATTGATTATATTTGTAACAAGCTTGGCACATACGATTTGTATGCTCCAGAGGGGGAGTGTTAGATATTGTTTAGATATTGTTTGATATTGTTAAGATATTGTTAGATATTGGTAACCACAATATCAAACAATATCTTCTGTTTATTCTGTTACTTTCAGTTACTCTTTTAGTTGTATCTCTCTACTATAAATAGACCACCCTATGTGTGATTTATACACAAGGGAAATTAATTCCAAACCCTATTTTCTCTATATTCAACACTCTCAAATAGTTTGGATTGAAGGTTTGTCCATCCACGAATAATCTATACATTCATTTCAATAGTTTGGATTGAAGGTTTATATATCCACGAACGACCTATACATCATTTTTCAAATGGTTTGGATTGAAGGTTTGTCCATCCACGGACGACCTATACATTCATTTTAGTAGTTCGGATTGAAGGTTTATCCTTCCATGAACGAAGTATACATTTATTTCAATAGTTTGGATTGAAGGTCTATCCATCCATGGACGATCTATGCAACCATTTCAATAGTTTGGATTGAAGGTTTATACATCCATGAACGACCTATACATCCTTTTTCAAATAGTTTGAATTGAAGGTTTGTTCATCCATAGACGACCTATACATCCTTTTTCAAATAATTCGAATTGAAGGTTTGTTCATCAATGGATGACCTATAGATCCTTTTTCAAATGGTTCAGATCGAAGGTTTGTCCATCCACGAATGACCTATACATCCGTGTCAATAGTTCACATTGACGATCAATCCCTACCACGGGCGATCTATGTATTCTTTTCCAAATAGTTCAGATTAACGATTAATCCTTACCACGGACGATCTATATATCCATTTTCAAGCATTTCAGATTAACGATCAGTCCCTACCACGGGAGATCTATATATCCTTTTTTGAATTTACTTTTCGATTTGATAGTCAATCCCTTCCAAGGGTGACCACCATCTTTTTTTATCTTTCGAATTGATGGTCAATCCCTTCCATGGGCGACCTAAACATCCTTTTACAATTTACCTTTCAGATTGACGGTTAGTCCCTTCCACGGATGATCTATATATCCTTTTCCAATTTTGTTTTTTGGATTGATAATTAGTCAATTTCACGACAATCTATACATCGCTTTCCAATTTTACATTTTAGATTGACGGTCAGTCCCTTCCACAGGCGATCTACATATCCTTTTAAATTTCTTATTATATTTCATATTGATAGTTTGTCTTATCCACGAGCAGCCTATACATTCTCTCTTTTTCATACCTTAACATAAGGTTTCCCCCATTTTTTTTTCTGATTTTAGAAACCCGAACGAAATCGTTACTTCTATCTTTACTTATCTTTTACAATGATAATACAAAAATTCTAAATTTTCTTACCATCTAGTAAAAGCTAAATAAAGAGGGATACTATCAGTACCCAATTTCATTCGGGTAGCTAAAAAAATTTAGAAAAATAAATAACAAAGTTTAATTTAAAAATTTTAAAAAAGGAAAAAAAAGAGGAAAAGAAAATTAAAATTAAAATTAACAAATTATTTTATTAGTGTTTCCCCTTTTAAAATAAATAAAGAAAAAGAAGCAAAACATTAAAAACAAAAAGTAAAATAAAAATATTTGAAGAAAGGAGAGAGAAAGAAAATTAAAATTAAAAATAATTTATTAATTTTTATAAAAAAAAGGTAATAATTTTTTTATTATTTTATTATATAAAATATATATATGGGAAAGAGAGTAGATTTTGACCCAATCCATTTTGTGATGTGCTGACTTGTTTCTTAACCTAAATTTTGGAGTTAAACGAGGGCATGAAACCACTTTATGAGTAGATGAGCATTTTTTTTTCCCAAATCCACTTGCCTTAGTCTCCTCCATTCATCTCAGGCGAGTCTACATTCTCCCATCACTCAAACTCGTGTCTCCTTCTCAGAGCGCTAACCTTCACTCACGTAGAACAACTACTCACCCCATCACATTCATTCTCCCTGCACACACGCACCCATTCTCCTTTTCATCCTCCCAATCACTTTTCACCACCACTCACCAACCTTCCTCACGACCAGCACCTCAAAACTGCTTGCCTCACTTCATTAGCGACCCACGCTCACCAACCCGCTACCACCCGTAAGCCTCCCTCACCTCCAGCTCCAGCCACCACTCTTCTCCCCCATCCTCAACCTCTTCCAAATCACCAGCTGCCATCATAGCCCAGTCGTGACCCTCACTCACCCACTCTCCATTATCCTCATCCACTTGCATTTCCTAGTCGGTGCACCTTAACCCCTATCACCTCTACTCTTCAATCACCAGCCAAACCCAGAACCCAAGATTGTGAGCTCAGCTCCCCCTTCAACTGTGAACCCTTCACCGCGCACCGCGCCTCCGACCACAACTACACACCATTCGCTGCCCCTGTTGCTATCCTCACAGTTAGTAGTTGCGAGATTGCCTCTCACCCGTACCCCGTGCGGAACCCTTATCTTTGCGGTCTCCATTGCGAACCTCAGTAGCAGTATAACAACCATAAGACTAAGAGGCCATCCCTCAAAAACTAGCTCAAGAAATTAGAGAACCTCCTATTTTATAATGTCTCCCTGGTAAGGAGACCTCCTCAATGTGGGACTTGTTACAATACCACCCCGTTTGAAAGTCAGCGTCCTCGATGGACGCACTTCACGACACTTCACTCACTAGCATTTTACTCGGTCTTCTTACCGGTCAAAACCCTCCCGTGGTCAGAACCCTCAGGCGGTCAGAACCCTCCATGGGTAGCCTTTCTCGAGTTGACTGACTCTTAATGAAAGCACCAATGTAACCATCATAAGGCTAAGAAGAGAATCATCCCTCAAAAACTAGCTCAAGAGGTTAGAGAACCTCCTACCTTATAAAGTCTCCATGATAAGGAGACCTCCCCAATGAGACTTATTACACACGACTTCCACCACCATCTTCACCGTGCACCACCATTGTGAGGTCGGTGTGCACCGCATCTAGCCATGGCCACGCCTCCCAGCCTTTGTCGCGAACCCTAGTTGCAGTCGCGACCTCAAATGTTTTTAGCACGGAACTGAAGAAAAAATATCTTGCTAATATACTATTTAAAAAAATTTACGTACATAACATAATTCGACTCGTGAATTTTGACCTTAAAATATAAAAATTAAATATAAATATATATATATATATATATATATATATATATATATATTTTAAAACTTTTATTTATATAATTATATGAAATAAATATAAATATATTTTTTATATAACATAAAAATATATTTATATTATTGATATATTTTTATAAATATAATAAATACAAATATATTTAATATATATATATAATATCTAAATATATATATATATATATATTTATATTAATATAATAAAATTTAATAAATACATATTTATATATTTCTACCTTTTTATATAAATAAATTATATATATTATTTAAATATATTTTTAATATAAAATCATTTTAGTAAGTAAAAATAATTTTTTTATAGAAATATATAAATATTTTTATTATATTTTAATATATTTATATATATTTTTATAAATATAGTAAATACATATTTATATTTTGTTATATACATTATAACTTTATTAAATAATATATATATATATATTATAAATTTATTAAATATAATATATAATAAATATAAATATATACTTTTATATAAAATATATATTGTATAATTATATGTTTAATATATTTATATATACTTTATATATATATATATATATATATATATATTAATATAATATTTAAGTATTTATTTAATAAAAAAGATTTTTAGTAAATAAATAATATATATATATATTATAAGTTTATTAAATATAATATATAATAAATATAAATATATACTTTTATATATAATATATATTGTATAATTATATGTTTAATATAATATATAATAAATATAAATATATACTTTTATATATAATATATATTGTATAATTATATGTTTAATATATTTATATATACTTTTATAAATATATATATATATATATATATTAATATAATATTTAATTATTTATTTAATAAAAAAGATTTTTAGTAAATAAATATATATATTTATATATTTATATAGTTTAAACATTTATTTATATAATTATATCAGAAAAACATATTTATATAATTATATGTTTAATATATTTTTATAAATATAGTAAATACATATATAAATTAAAGGAAAAAAATCGAATAAAAACTAGATTTGAATAATTAATTTTAAAAAAATACATAACGCAATGAACATAAGTCATAAAAAAAAAAAAATACATAAGTCAATCATAGGAATTACTCCAAAGTTTTAACATTTTACAACAAACTTAAATACGTTTGATCCTGTAGAGGGTGAAGAGGATCTTTTATTCCCTCACTTTATTTTATGAAAATCTCAAAGTTGGCTGGCTCAAGCTTCATCATTTTGAAGACCAATTCCAAAGTCACATGTTGAGAAAATTGCAGATGTCAATGTATCATCTCTTCAACATGTAGGTCCGTTGTTAGCTCCACCAACTCTTGAACATAAACATTATGTAACGAAGGTTTCAAGTAGACCCTAGTGATTGACCTCCAGTCTGCAAAACTTGCCTCATATTGGATCCATTTCTTCAAATGAAAAAGTGAAACTCCCTTGAAACAGATGGTGCATACACTATGATCTCCCTCACAACTAACACCAACATTAAATGAATTGTAAACAATAATTTTTTCAATGAACACCATTATGTTGGATGAAACTCTATTGAAATTGAAACTCTCTTCAGTCTCTCAATAAACTTGTTAGTGACAAATGTTGAATGCTCCATGCAATTTATAGGCAACGAGCTTGTTATGCTCCACGCCTATGAGACATAAGCTCCACAATTAGTGTGTGGTCAAACTTGGTCATTGACTGACTCATGTGCAGTGTGTTATCTTGTCATTGATGCATGAGAAAAGCAAAGTTCATGCCAGTGCTGCTCCACGAATATGAGACGTAAGTTCCTCGAACAATGTGTGGTCAGACTGGCTCTTTGATTGACTCATGTGCAGTGTGTTGTCTTGTCATCGGTGCATGAGAAAAGCAAAGGTCATGTTCATTATGCTCCACGCGTTTGTGACATAAGCTCCTCGATCAGTGTGTGGTCAAACTGGGTCATTGACTGACTCATGTGCAGTGTGTTTTCTTATCATCGGTGCATGAGAAAAGCAAAGTTCATGTTCGTTCTACTCCATGCATATGCGACGTAAGCTCCTCAATCAATGTGTGGTCAGACTGGGTCATTAACTGACTCATGTATAATGTGTTGTCTTGTCATCGGTGCATGAGAAAAGCAAAGTTCATGCCCGTTCTACTCCATGCGTATGCGACGTAAGCTCCTCGATCAATGTGTGGTCAGACTGGGTCATTGACTGACTCATGTGAACTGTGTTATCTTGTCATCAATGCATGAGAAAATTAAAATTCATGCCAGTCCTGCTCCACGACTATGAGACGTAAGCTCCTCGATCAGTGTGCGGTCAGATTGGGTCATTGACTGACTCATGTGCATTGTGTTATCTTGTCATCAGTGCATGAGAAAATCAAAGTTCATGTTAGTCCTACTCCATGACTATGAGACGTAAGCTCCTCGATCAGTGTGCAGTTAGACTAGCTCCTTGACTAACTCATGTGCAATGTGTTGTATTATCATCGGTGCATGAGAAAAGCAAAGTTCATGTCCGTTCTGCTCCATACCTATGCGACGTAAGCTCCTTGGTTAATATGTGGTTAGACTAGATCCTTAACTGACTCATGTGTAATGTGTTGTCTTGTCATTGGTGCAAGAGAAAAGCAGGGTCCATGTGAGCTCTACACCATGTGTGTGTCAGGTCACTCCTCGGTTAGTGTGTGCCACATCTTCATATCAGAGGACCTCAAACTTGGTCTCACTTGACATGTCATCAACAACTTATCAAGTCACTAAGTCTCACCTACCACTAACATGACTACCTAGCTCTTATGTCACTCACAAACACAACCCACAACACAAATATTTGATTTGAACAACAACTATTTAGGGCAATGGGAAGCTGATGTATAATCATACAACGAGCTTCTAATTGGTTCATCTACACAAATGTTTTTCCCTCCGTCACCAATGCAATCACAACACCATTACCTTCTTTTTTACCCGAAAATGAAACTTTAGGATTTCCTTCAGCATCGTTAGAACCTTTTAGTAATGATGAGAACGACATCCTCACACAACATGCATTTGAGGATGATGACAACTTATTGCAACTATTATTGCTCATATCAAGTCCTCAGTTGGATACACTATGACAACAGAAAGGCTTGGTTATTAAAGCAACAAGCAATTGAAAATATCTACGGCAGTTGCGAAGAATCATTCAACAAATTGCTTAGCCTATTACAAGTCATGTCACAATTTCTTCTTGGTTTCTACTACTGATTGACCACACAACAACTATCTTCTACCGAGGACAAGATATACTTTAAAAGACTATTCTAGACCTTTTAACAATGTATTGATGACTTTCGGTATTGTAAACCACTAGTCCAAGTGGATGAGACATTTCTATATGGCAAATATAGGGGCACCCTTGTAGACCCCAAATTTTGTTCGGCCTCTCAATAAAGATCAGAAGACTTCATTCCGAATATAGGTAAAGCTCTGTTGAACACCTAGCGGCATCAACCGACTTCCGTTGGAGGAAAAGAGAACTTTTCTGAGAAAATAAAAAGTTAAAATTGGAGAAGAAACTTGGGATGACCATCCCAAATGTCAGATGGTCGTCCCGAGTAACACTTTTGCCTCCAGACGTGCGTCTGGGATCTGAGACGCACGTCTCAAACTTCCATGCACCTTGGGACGACCGTCCCAAATCCCAGACGGTTGTCCCAAGCCATTTTGCACATTGGGACAGTCGTCCCAAATGTCCAGATGGTCGTCCCACCTGATAGGAGTTGGGACGACCGTCCCACCTGTCCAGAGGGGGCCATTTGCAGCTCTGGACACACCTCACTTCTCTCTACTCTTCTATTTCTCGAATGATCTTTCCGATTTCCTATAAGGTAACAATCGGTTAAGGAAATCTCTTCTGAGATATCCGACATTCGATAGTTTTAAAATTCTTCTTGTATTCGGGAGAAGAGAGTTCTTGTAGTGCAGGAGGATAGCCAAAAAGCATCCTCAGAGTTGAAGATTTTATATAAAGCTTGCTTTGGAGGTTCTTTTCACTACTCTTCTCTTTTATTGCTTTATTTATTGCTTTCTTATGTGCAGTAGAAATAGGATCATGTAGAGTAGTCATATTAATATCACATAATAAAATAGGGTAATGGCGTAATCTCTTATAATCTTTATTTTATGAATTAATCTGTCATAGGGAACCTGAGAGGGGCGTCGTGGGGGTGCTAATACCTTCCCCACGCGTAACTAACTCCCTTACCTGACTCTGATTATAATGACCAAGTTTGGTTTTTCTTAAAATCAATGTCT